GACATGATCGACATTTTTTCTGAAGGCAAGGCATTTCAATTTTAACAACCAATCAAACATCATTACCGTTACATTTCATTCGCCGAATAACAATAAATTAAGGGACATATCTGTTGATTGTTATGATTTACTTAATCCTGTAATCTTAATATTTCAAAATGGATTTTATTGGTCTAGACTATCATAATAAATTAATTATATTGGGCTTGTTGGGGTTGTTTTGCCTATGGATTTGGAAAAGACAACAAAAGTTGGTAAGTAGTAGTTGACTTTAATGTTTTTATGTACAAAATTTTCATTATTCACCATCAATAATCTTTTCAAGAATGAGCCACCACTTGTACCTTATACGTTTCCATTAATTGGTCATACAATCGATTATTTTACAAATACTGGAAATTTTATTAAGAAGTGTCGTGAACAGGTAAATATATATATATATATATACAATACTTCTATTTCGTTTTATATTTGTTGAATTTAAACTATACAAATAATATCTTATTTAAAACCCTTGATAGTATGGAGAAATATTCTCCCTTTACGTTTTTGGAAAAATAATAACTATAGTTGGCAAAGAAACAAGTCTTGAAGTTTTTAGCAATCATCAAAATTTCAATTTCTTAAAAGCTGTCTTCGATGTTAATATCATTTTAATTATTTTAGTCCTTTTTTTTTCATTAGTAATTTATTAACATATAACTTTTCAGACACTCCCACTTGGTTTATTGCTAGGACGTCCACATTCTTTCTTTGATAAAATTGCAAAGGTCGTTCGTGATGAATTGTCTAATGATCTGGGTCAATACACAAGAAGAATTCAAGTTGCATTAAATAAATCAATAAACAAATTTATTGGTGAATGCAAAGGTAAGGTAAAAATCTCTATCTTAGAAACTCATATACTTTATTTCCTTATTATTATTATTATTATTATTATTATTATATTAGATCAAAAATGTATTAAATATCCACAGCAATTGCTTATGCAAATAGTGGCAATACCCATGGCCAGTATTATTGTTGGTGAAGTAAGAACATTAAATTATTAGCTGCATTGTTTAGGTTATTTCCAACTGAGTTTCAACTAATATGATCAGATATTAAATGCAACAGGATTTAGCAAATGATGAAGAACTCATCAATTCATTCGCTAATTTAACAAGGGACATTATCCCAGCACTTTCATTACCACCATTCTTAAATTTTATTCATCCTTCCCTTCATACAAATTTTTTTGTGTATGAATTTCTTTATTATATTTATTCTTATATTATTAACTAAACCAAGTCTATAATTTAATTTAATTTCTTGCGTTTATTTAGATTTCGTCTAAAACATACTGGTCATCTTTATAAAAAACACAGGCAAGCAATTACTGATAGAATCATACAAGTTATCAAACAATGTGAGCATAAAAAAAGAGATTTTGGTAGTACTTGTGAACCTCCGGTACGTAAAATTAATTTGTCATAATTTATTATATATATGTTTAATTCACATTACATTATTAATATATTTCATTTGTGAACATTCAATAGGCAAATATTTTGCAATTGTTTATTAACTTGTCAGAAAAAGATGGAATAGTTGATGTAGAAGAAGTAACTGATTATATTATTGATATTATATTTGCCGCTATACACACAACTTCGCAAGCTATTTCAAATGTTCTTTACGGTAAGCTATTATTTAATAAATTTATAAAATATAAAATACTCTAATGGTCTATAATATTATTTTTGGTAAAGAATATGGCGCCCGTCACGAATATTGGAAGGAATTACTTGAGGAAAATAATAGAATATCACATGAAGTTAAAGATGAATATTTGTCTATTCAGGAAGTTAACAAAATGGTTAGGTTAGATAGCTTTATAAGGGAGACTTTGAGATTTTGGCAACCAATTGGTAAAACTCTATTAATGCTATCATCTATTGTTAATAAAAATTTCTTTTATTACATCATATTCATTTGATAAATAAATTTATTGTAACATTATTCCATTATGCTGTAGTTGGATTAGAACATAAAACTCTTAATGACTTTTACACTTTTTCAAATGGTTATCAAATCCCAAAAGGCAATGTATAAATATAATTTGAATTTAATAACTATTATTCTACATTCTAAATTTTTATAATTTATAATAATATAGGCAGAAATGTTTATATGTACACTGCAGAGATTCACGACACTGATCCAAATACAAATACATTTGATGGTTTTCAATACGTTGAAAAAAATTTTCGAGCTACAAAGACAGGAAGAGAATATATCCTATTTGGTCTAGGAAGGCATGCATGTTAGTACATATATATATATATATATATATTAGTATCCAGGATTATTAATTGCTAATAAGTTTAATTTTATATATTGGATCCTAGGTCCTGGCAGATTCTTTGCAGTGCATACTATCAAAATTGCATTGTACTTATTAATTAGAAAATATAAGATTGTGACCGAAAGTAAAAATGTTGTTAGACCTGTTTTTGCAGGTTCTTTTATTCTTCCAAATAGTGAAGGATTAATTTTTGAAAATCTATAAAATGTAATATTGTTTGTTTTATATAATAAATTTTTATACAGATTTTGATCAATTGCAAATTGATTTGTACTTAATAAGTAATATCTACTTTAAAATTAATCTAATGTAAACTATTTTTTTTTTTAAAAGAATTTATATTTTAACATATAGCAGAGCTATTTTATATAACAATAAAATTTTTATCTAAGATTGACTATTATTATTCTTTAAACCATAAAGATGATGTGTATTTCTTCTTCAATTGCTGTTAAGCAAATATTTTTAGTCCAAAATTTTATAATCTATAAGAAAAAAGCCACAAACAAGAAAGAAAAGTGACTAAAAAAATACAATTCGGGCTTTTTTGGAAATGAGAACACAAGGCAACAGATAGACACTATAGACGGCCAACAACACCAGTAACAATAAGACCAATTCCTACACCAATTCCATTATAGTTTACAGAAACATGTCTCAAAAGTCGCATCTTGCAATACCAATAGCGCCAACAATCTCCCAAAATCTGAACTAAAGATATTGGATTTAAAAGGTTCCACACACTACTCAGAAACGAGAGACTAGCAGCAGACATGATATGCTTACAACACAATTTAAATGTAAAAGATTTTCCTTAAAATAAAAGAACACATCCAAGAATTATAATAAACCAACTGTAAATAAGTCTAATTTCCAAGCTCTACATCACAAAGTTTGTCAAAGCGTTTAAAAAATACTTGTCAAGTGTTTGCTAAATACTTAGTAAATGCTTATTGGGCCTATGATATGTTTGGATGTAATTATAAGAACTTATTTAAGGTACTCAAAAAATATTTAAAAATTAAATTTATTATATTATAAAATTTAGGAAAGTTATATTCGTAACACCATGTTATATAACACCCTATACTAACCCTATGCTATATTTCAAAAATGTACTAAGTAAACGGGATCGGGTATCTTAAGTAAAAATGTTCAGGACCCATGAAAACCTTACGAGAACTGAAATCAGGACCTTATATCTAATACGTAGTATACAAATATATATTAATTTTAGTAAAAAAATATTTTCTGGAATTCAACTCAAATCTATTATAATTGAATAAAAGAGATCTTTCTTTTTTGTTATAATTACAAAAATTCTAAATTATCAGATACCTTTAGTTAAATTGGTATAATAAAAAAGATTAGGTTTTGTTTGCTTATTTTTTTATTTTTTTGCAATATTTTTAGCTCGAACTATGATAATTATAGAAAGTCATTAGTAAATACTTAAATACAAATACAAATATAACTATAATAGATCTTAGCTTGACTATTTTACTAATATTCTTGTTAATTAACTAATATCAGACTTCAATTTTATATTAACATAATTTAGCATTTTTTATCTTGGTAGCAGGTCTTTAAAAAAGATTAAAATATAGCTATATTAACCAATACTATATCTAATATAGATAAAAGATATTATATTGATATAAATAATTGGATATGTTTTTGTCTAGCATATGCAAATAGCTAGTATCTTATTTGCAAGCATATAGTTGCAATAAAGAGAAAAAAAATTTGGTCTACTTATAATAAAACAACAAGAAATATGACTATTTATTTATTACTCTTAGCAAAGATAAATCTTTAGCAATCTTTCAAAAAAATAATTTATAGAAAATAACTAGTATAACTATTTCAAAAATAAATTTCATTCTTGGTAATCCTATTTTGAAGAGTATACTACATACCTTCTTATAAAAAATTTGAATTTAAAAATAGTTAAGATTAGGTTAGAGTTAGTATTAGAGTTAGATTTAGGGTTAAACTTAATGTAAAATTGCAAGAAGATTATTTTTTATTAGTTATACAACAAGATTACTCTAGTAAAATTTTGAGTTATAGCAAAATTATAGCAAAGGGTGCACATAGTGCAAAGTGTACTAAAAAATAATATCTAATAAAAAATTATTTATTAAAACTATTACTATTAAATAAATAAGAAAAATTAATGAAATGCCAAACTATCTTGAGTAATAAATAATTTATAGACTAAATAAAAAGAATTAATAAGAACTAAATAAAAGAATTAATAAGAATTGAATAAATTAGTATCATAATTATCAATTAAATTACTAAATAAATAAATAAATAAATAAATAAATCTAATAATAAAAAAAAAATAAAAGAAATATAAGTAAAAAAAAAAGAAAAGTCTTGAAAAAAAATAATAGAAAATAAAAGAAAAAAAAGATAAAAAAAAAAAAAAGTAAAAAAAGTAAAAAAAAGTAAAAGCAAAAAAATAAAAAAAATATAAGTAAATCAAAAAAATAAAAAATAAAAAAAAAATAAAAGTAAAAAAAGTCTTAGAAAAATTTTATTAGCTATAATTAATTTTGATTAGCTAAATAATGCAGATTATCATATAGTTGAAGTAGAATCAAATTTTAGTGATAATTTTTTTTGCTATGGCTAGAGTACTAATCTAAAGTTCTATAAAGTTATAAAAAAATCATGAAGAAGTTGTTTTTATGGTTTTACCATAAAATTCCAAAAGCCATTTTCCCAAAAGAACATAATACTGACTAAATTGGCCAGCATTATAACTAATATCGACTAACTTTGTCAGAATTAGGTCCTTTTGGTAATATGTCTTTCAGGATTTTGTGGTAAAACTGTTTTTACAAAGCTACAAAATTATGAAGATGTAGCTGCCGAAATAAGCCCATAGTAAGCCTATCTGTTTGTAAACAGAAAGCCAAGCAAAGCCAAAAGTATCATACTTTGGTTAGATTAATTTTTTTCTTATATATAATTCATTATAAATATAGGCTCTTTTTGCCCTCTAATAAAGAAAATAATAGTGAAAATATATTTGCAATCAAAAAATTAGTTTGTTTTGCTCACACAATATACCTAATACACTTTACCTTGCAAAATTGTAATTGCCTCTATAATTGAGTATATTATAAGCTGTAAGTTAGTAGTGTTGTGTTTTTAGATGGTGATTCAGAAATGGTTGATAAATAATATTAGTTTGCATTAATTATATGTAAATTGATATTTTTAGATAAAATTGTAGATAAATTGATATTTTTTTAAAATTTTATACTATATAATATTAATAGCTAGATTTATAATAATTCTAGCCAAGATTTAGAATTTTGAACAAGAAATTATGATTACTGTTATCATTTAATGCCTTTTTTTTAATAACTGATAATTAAAAAAAAAGATATATATATACATACATATTTCATAAAAATTTCAAGTAGAAGACCACTATTCAAAAAATCTTATATCAAAAAGGTATTATTATTTTTTTTTTTATCAAATGCCACCTAAATGTGTTATAGTATACTCTTATGCACAAGAATTTCTAAAAAATTTTTTAGCTGACTCTGGGCTTTTAATGTACTGTTTCTGTTCCCACTTTGTGAATTGGAGAATCAAGACAAATATTATAGCTCATATCAAGACAAGTAGGCATAAAACAAAAAAAGTGCAGCTGCTACTAAAAAGCAACTAAGACAACCTATCTTGAATTCTGTTATTAATGCAAATGAATCAAAGAAGAATGTAATCAATAATTTAATTTGTGTATTTATTAAAGCAGACATTCCTTTGGAGAAGATGAATAAGCTTAGAATGTAATTAAATTAATACTTATACAAGGGCGATAACATTCCTTTGGCTAGCACATTATGTTATGTATATCTTCTTGATGTTTTTAAAATCTATTTAACTACACTCAAGCAAATGTATTTAGAAAAAAGAGTTTCAGTAATAGTTGATAAAACTACTGATAGTCAAGCATAAAGTATTGTTAATGTGTTATTTAATTATCATAGTTTTACAAAATTAGTAGTTGTAGATTTCCTAGAAATAGTCGACAATTTGACAATTGGGCAATTGGTGGTT